TCATTACGTGAGGAATGAATAGTACCTTCAGCCATTGGAAAATATTATGTGCTTGCCTATGTGATGTCCAAACTCATTTTTCCAAAATGATTGAATACTCATTTTGCAAACTTAAAGACTATATTTAAGGGGAAAAAGAGGACTCGAAATGGACAGCATCTGTTGATTCATTATGGTTTCTGCATGATACACCTGCTGTTTGTCCTCATATCTTACATGGGGAAGTTTCTTTGAATCTCCTTTCCTTTTTCTAACTAGCATGTTAAATATTATTGTCATCTTGTATTCGCTAAATGCTATAATTTCACATGTAGGATGAGTCTCAAGATTTTATCAAGAGGCAGCAGTTACGTGAACTGGCGATGCTAAATTCCAATTTCAGAGAGGAGAGTCCTGGTCCAAGCGGTAGTGTCTCTCCTTTTAATTCCAGTGGAATGAAACGCCCGAAAACAGGACGCTGAGGAGAGCTCAACCCTACAATTTCTGGAAAATCTTCAGACCCCTGCTCCAGAATATCATAGCCAAGTATACCTTCTGTTACATATCAGTTCAGCACAGCTTGAAAAGATTAGGCTAACAGTTCTTGCTGGTGAGCTTTTTCTGGTGGGTTTTAATTATTTAATTGTTTCCCCCTCTTTGGATGAAATGAAAACCGAAAATGAAGAAAACATTAAAAAAAAAAAAAGAATGAACTATATATAGTTGGCTCTCGGAGTTTAGGTTTGGCGAGGTCAGTTTTCCTGTAAAACGCAATACATTCATTGGATTTATTCTTGTGTTAGTAGCTTTAAGGGAGTGTGCAATATATATTTTTCATCTGTTGAAAACCAAAAAAAAAAAAAAAAGGCAGCATTAGGCCTTTGTGAAGGGTCGGATCGAGTTTTGTAGGTGTGTTCATGTTTGTTTGTTCCTTTTGTAGTAGTTTATATTTATAATTATAATGAAGCATAGCAAGAAAAAATTGTAAGTTGGGTCTTATTATATTTAATTCTTTTTTCTTTGACTATCTGAATCATATGAAAATGGGATCTCTCCCTTTGCATTCTTAAGAGTCGATATATTATATCCACAAGCTTTTGAATCCCATATTTTGATGCCTTGAATATGTATCTTTAAAGCCTTGAGGAAGACAATTTGTTCCAAGATTCTGAAGTTTCTTTTCCTTGGGCATTTGGCACTTTGAACTTTTCAGCCTTTGCATAATTTGTAGCATATTCAAAACATTATTATAGTACTACAAATCAAAACAAACATGCCTAATGAACTTTCCACTTTCTTGTCTCAACGTGAACATTGTGGAGAAGTTATGTTCGGCCGCCGAAGGACCGTTTGAGGCGAAAGTTGTTTGGATCCAGCAATTACTTATTTGTTTTTTCCTTTGGTTGCAAATTGCAATGTAGGCAAAGGACCACTCTTTGCTTTTAGGCTTTAGCCGATTCTGGGATTTCTGACAAATTAAATTAGCTTATACTAATCATTATTAACATGGAGGGCACCAACTGAAACTAACTAGAGTTCGGTACATAAAGTGAAAATTATAGAGAATCAATATTATTAATCTAATAATAGTAGGATTTAAGGACTTAGGAGCAGAAAACGTTAATTTTCACATGTGTTTTAAGACTAATTGCGCCAACTCCAACTGTGGAACACGACTTAACAGTCCATCTGCCCATGTGCACAGCTATCTGAGAGTTGTGGAACATGTATTGTCATGCAATAAGACAAATGCGAGATTCCTGTCCGAGGCATGCCATTCATTCCCAACGTAAAACATGTGTTTTGGTTTAACCTCAGGTATCTCGAGACCTTGTTGACCTCGAGGCTACAACTTGAGTGAATAAATATAAATGTACGGGGGGTTAAGGAAGTAATATATTTTTTTTTAACAAGGGGAGTCTCAACTCTCAAGTAGTTTTTTTTTTTCTTTTTTTTAATTACTTGAAATTAATCTCATTCGAATAGGGAGAGTCAAAGGTTAAAGCTTATACGTTTCTATGGGTCAAACTTATATTTTCAGTGGTAGACTTATCCATGATTTTCTTTTAGGGTGGTCACAATATCTTCTATACATCATATAGATTAATAAAAATAAGATTCATATGCAAATTTGTTGAGTCTAGCCCAACAATGCCCTTGGGTCAGACCAAAAGCCTAATAAGGCCTATAATCCTAAAGCAGCCTACTAGTAGAAACCCTAAGGCTGTACAAACACCATATAAAATGGCTTCTACACCCTTCCCTTGAACAAAATCTTCTTTACAATTCAACAACCCTACGAGCTCCATGGCTAATCCTAAAGAGCTCGTCTTGGAAAGATACCCTAATTACGGTTAGTAACTCCGTCTGAAGGAGGAAGGTGTGTTAAAGCCCTCCCAACAAATATGTTATTAGGAATCGAAGTTGTACGTTCTTACTCTTTTCATGGTGGAAGCCTCGTACCACCTTAACCAATCACTTGTTAGTTTCTTTTTTATCATTTTTTGGGGGCTAATTTAGTTTCTTTTTTATCATTTTTTTGGGGCTAATTGCTCAAATTGGTCCCTAACGTTTACAGAAATATTCAAATAAGGGCCTAACCTTCTAATTTGGTTAATTAAGTCCCAAAAGTTGCAAAATCGACTCAAATTAGTCCCTATAGTCGATTTAAGTCCCTAATGTTTTTGGGTTTATTAGGCTATCAATTTGACACAAGGGACTGATTTGAGCCGATTTTGCAATGTGAGAAACTTAATTAACCAAATTAAAAGATTATGCCCTTGTTTGAGCATTTTCGTAAATGTTAAGGACCAATTTGAACATTTAACCTTTTTTTGGGGTATATTTACAAGTTTGATGATTTTTCTCCATCTCCAATACTCAAACCGGAAACCTTGGGTTAAGGGAAACAAATGTCAACAGCTTGGACCAATCAATTGTTGATATTTCGTTTTATTTTTTAATTGAAATTATTTTGGATTTTAAACTTGTGAGCTTTTTGTTGAGATATTATGGCATATGAATATCATGATGTGTTAATCATTTGGGAGTGGACATTCATGATTAAATGAGGGTGAGCACATCCAATTTTTCATATTTGAGATGAATTGGTGTCCAACCTCAATAAGTAATATGTCCGCTCCTTTGCGTTCTTACCCATCCTAAGGTGGATGCCACTTAGAGCAAGGCCAACGAATGCGGTATAACTGCATTTTGCTGTAAAAATTGTCAAAAAAAACAATCCAATGAATGCGGTATTTTTTGTTTCCAGAGACGCTTCAAAATGGCGGAGCAATAGTGACGCGCCATATTTGGCGCGTCACTGTTGCTCAACGCCAAACATACTTTTTTTTTATTCTTTTAAACAATTTTATAATGACATCTATATCCTTTTTAGATTTAGGTTTTTAGATTTTGATTAGTATTTACACTTACACTTTAAATCATCAGAAAAAAGTTATATCATTAGAAAGAATTAATTGAGACCTTTAAAACAAGACCAATATTGAATATATTTTTCCGAATTTTTTTAATAATTATTTTTAAGACTTAATTTTAGGGTTAAAATTCAACAATTTAATAAAAAAAAGTTAAATTACATTGACTTAAATTAAGATAAATTTACAACTAAAATAGATTTGAAATAAAAATAATAACTATTACTTGTATTATTTATTTAATAATATTTTTAATTAATGGTATTTAGTTATATTATTATTAATTTGTTTTGAATAATAATTTTTCTTTCCAATAAATAAAGAAATATTACTAAGTTTTATCTAATTCTAAATTAATTTCTATAAATATATAATATTTATGAAAATGATTTACAATTTTCTAAAAACAAAAATGATTTACAATTAAATAATTGTTTAACACCAATTTGGTGTACAATATATTGGAGTGCAAAAATTTTTGGTGCAAGCATATTCTCCAAAGATTCTTTTTTGACACTACTTTAGTGCAAAATTTAGTGTACAAGATTGGCCTTGCTCTTAGGGCATCCGCAATGAAGGCGGTAAATCGGAATTTTGGCGTTAGAATTGCAAATTTTCTCTTCCAAGGAAGACACTATTTTACATTGCCCGAGACACACCAAAATAGAGTTGGTATAGTGCACTGTAGCACAACACCAATTTTTTTTTGTTTTTTCTTTGTAGGCTTAAATATTTAAATTTAAACTAGAAAAAATTATCATTAAAAAGATTTTAATGAGATGTTTAAAATGAGATGGATATTAAATATAATTTGAATTATATTTTGAATAACTATATATACAAATAGTGTTATATGGTAAGATTTTAATAATATAATAATACAAATGGTGTTTTAGTGTGAATAACATATTGGAGTATATTCCAAAAAGATTTTCTTTCAACATGTAAAATTTGAGGGAACACATTGGAGATGATCTTACTACTTCAACCAATCATTCCTTGGTTAAGTGAAAAAATGTGTGAATAAATACATGAGAGGTATATATAAGGGAAAGGAAGTAAAGGCGACAATGAATATTACAGAGATAATGGGCGCAGATGTTAGAAAAATGCTTTTTGTGTATATGCACAACATAAGAGCTTTAGGGTCTATCAGTATGATATGACGATCACATTGATCAGAGCCTAACCTCAAAAATCATATATATTTGTCCATTAAATGGTTTTGAAAAAGTTAGCCTGTAAAGTAATGGGAAAATAATCCCTGACATCTTTTACCTGGTTTTCCCTACCTGCTTTGAAATTGATAGTTTTTTTTTTTAATAAAAAAAAAAGTGATACTTTTTTCCCTCCCCCTTCACTTGGACCAATTATAATTTAGTATGGTACAATTGTTGGTACATTACAATAGAGTGTAACTTCTAATAGTAATTCATTAGAGACAGCTTAGAATTACCATTTAATTAATAAAATCAACCGAATATTTCATAATGCTTCAGGCTTGTGTACTTTAAATTGAGAGGGTTTTTTTTTTGGCTTTATCATTCATGGAGATTGGAGACACAAAAGAGAAGAAACAAAATATCCGACCTGCCGGATTCGAACCAGCGACCTAAGGATATCTACCAGGTTTCTCACCCACTACAGTCCTCCGCTCTACCAACTGAGCTAAGGTCGGAATTGGTACTCCATTTTCATTCAAGGTATCAATCCTAATCTTAAAGAAGTGAGAAACGTGGTGGGCTTGAATTGTTTTCTCTATTTTTGGTTTTTATGAGGATGAACATTGAACAGTGGTCGTTGATTGTGAAATGAAAATGGAAGAAGTTTGGTTGGTGGGCCGTCGGCATTCAAGGGAATATATAAGAAATGTAGTATTTGTTGCAGTCTACCTTAAACTACAATTTTGGGTCCATTAGGAAAATTGTTTTGTTTGGACTGAGTTGGCCCTTTTAGGGTTTTACATCAATTGAACTTCCAACTTCAACCCTTCTTTTTTGTCTCTCTTTTCTGCAGTCTCTCTGTTCTGTATAATAACGCTTTCCTCTTTCACCTAACCTTTCCCACCTTTGCTGCAAAAAGAACCAAAAAATAAAAAAAAACATCACTCCCCATTTTCAGGTACATTTCTCACTCTAATCTCTCTGTTTTTCATTCTCTTTGTCTTTGCATTCTGCACTTTTCATTTCACTGAAAAACTGAATCTGTCTTGTTCATTTTTTTTTTTTAAATTTCGATCATTAAAATGGATGATTTTGCCTGAGTTATGCTTTGGTTTCGTGGTGATCTCTACCTATTTTTATTATTTATGTATATATAGTTTTGTTGTCAGATAAATAAATTGTAGTTTCTTAAAGAAAAGAATCTATGCAGGTTTAAGAGTTGATAGAATCAGTAAATCGATCGATCAGATGGCGTCTTCAATGGCTCGGTATCGTTTCTCGATGTTAACAAGGCAATTCCCAAACATGAGTGATAGCCGTCGTCTCAAATCACAATCACTAGATATCGTTTCATTCCCTCACAGCCAACCAATCCGCTTGCTAAGCACCAAGATTCCCAATCCCAAACTTCACATTTCATGCGCTGCGGGAGGCGGGGATGGACATGACGGTGCTGGTCGCAGCGGCGGAGGCGGCGGCGGCGGAAGCGGAGGAGATGGCAAGTCCAATTCCAACTCGAGTGACAAATCATGGGAGGGTTTTGGAATCTTGGGTCTTTTCTTAAGTGGATGGAGAGACAGGGTTTTAGCAGATCCCCAGTTTCCGTTCAAAGTTATAATGGAAGAGTTGGTTGGAGTTAGTGCTTGTGTTCTTGGGGACATGGCTTCTCGTCCTAACTTTGGTCTTAATGAGCTTGATTTCGTTTTCTCAACTCTAATAGTCGGTTCCATATTGAATTTCACTCTCATGTATCTGTTGGCACCAACAGCTTCCTCTGCTTCTTCGAGTTTGCCTTCAATCTTTGCAAGTTGTCCACAAAGTCACATGTTTGAACCTGGTGCTTATACCTTAATGAACCGTTTTGGCACTTTTGTCTTCAAAGGGACAGTCTTTGCTGCTGTTGGATTCGCTGCAGGCCTTGTAGGAACGGCAATTTCGAATGGATTGATCAAGATGAGGAAGAAAATGGATCCTACTTTCGAAACACCCAACAAGGCGCCTCCTACATTGTTGAATGCTCTCACTTGGGCAATTCACATGGGAGTTAGTAGCAATCTGAGGTACCAAACTTTGAATGGCGTGGAGTTTCTGTTGGCCAAGGGAGCCCCTCCATTGGTGTTCAAGTCATCTGTGGTGGTTTTGAGATGCTTAAATAACATTCTTGGAGGAATGTCGTTTGTAATATTGGCAAGGATGACAGGGTCACAGAGTGTCGGGGAGAAGCCGGAGAGGGTGGAGGTTGCTGTTGCCGCCGAGAAGGACAAGTTGTTGGATGGTGGTGACCATTTGGACACCAATCAGTCGACTTTTAAGTGATTTCTCAAAACCTTTTTTTTTGTACTTGGCTAGCTGGTTTAGGCATTTACTCCGCCCTTGTTTATAACTTGGATGTAGCATGTGATCATATTTAATACTTGTAATAATAAGATCCAAGAGATATATCCTGGTTGGTTTGATGCCCTTTTAGTTCATGACTTGGTTGAATATATAGCCCCAACAGAGTTTTCTTTTCTGTTGTATTTCACAATTATATTTCCAAAGATTTAAAGCTGCTTACCTAACCTCATTTCTGTAAAGTCTTTCCTTTGGACCCATGTTGATCTGTATTGAAGTTGCAATGGCAGTATGGCACCAGCCAGCAGACGGTTTTCATTTTTACTGACCTCTGTTGTTACAATCAGCCCTAACATTGCTCGCGAGATAGCACACACGGTCGATCATTCAATTGTTTTATTAGTTAAAGTTTTACCTTAAAGAAGAAAAGAAAAAAAGGAACGTAAACTGCTCAAGTGAAACCTTTTCTACTCATCAAATCAAGAACTATGAACAATCTGACATATTGATATCTTAATCAGAACAAGTAACCCAGTAAGGTCTCATGTCATATAAGAATCAAAGGGAAGCTTAGGTAGCAATCCCCCCCGTCCCTCCTCATCCATTAAAATCATCTAGAAAGATTAAGATATACTAGTATACAACAAAAACCCTAATCTTCTCATGTTGAACTGTAAATCCCATTATTGTGGCCTTCCTTTACACTGAGTATCTTTTTTCTTTGAGATTCTGTTCCACAAACCAACTAGTAAACAATTCTGCCATACTCGACCTTTGTTTAAAGCACCAATGGGGATTGAGTACAATCATATTATCTGACAGCCTCTGGAGCAGAATTGCAATAAGGTGTGTGCAAGCAGACTAACTTGGTGCATGTTAAACACAGAGTAGCAAAACCAACTCCTAGAGCTAGCCCAAAGCTGCTTTTCCGTGTATCCAACCTTACTGCTCTTTGAACTATTTTAAAAAAGCACGGGAGCAATCCTCCACAGGCCAAAACCATCACATGGTCAAGACCACTGTAGTCGATTCCTGCCAATATTGCTCCGATTGCAGATATTGGGCCTACAAAGCCAATAAGAGCAGCTGCAGCAAGAGAGCCATGCCAACTGTCAGTAGCTCCAAAGATGCAGCTGGCCACTGCAGCACCACGAGGAAGCCCGTGAAGGGATACAGGAAGGACCATGTGCCGACCAAGTCCATAAGCTTTTGGAGCAGCCACTCCGAGTGCAAGCCCCTCTGCCAATGCATGGAAAGCCACTGCTCCACATGCTAAAAATGACTGGAGCGTGAGAACACTCACTGGCAATCCTGTTACTGATGGTAGGTTATTCGAAGAAGTTTTTTTGCTACACACAATCTTCAAAATACTAGAGCTTGAAACATGGACAAACGCAGCGCCCAGAGTGAGTAACAACATAAGTGGGAAAAATCCCATCTTGGAGGACAAAAGTAATTGCAGTGGTCGCCAAGCACCAAGGATGAAGGCAATGCCAGATGCAGCACCCATTAGAAGGGCATGCTGAAGGCGGAAAGCAAGTGCAAATGCAACGAGAACAAGGCCACCTAATAAAGGTCCAAGACCAAAAAGTAACGAAACAAAGAAGCCAGAAGCATCCTCCGAACTGGAAATTTGAAAACAATAAAAGTAGTTAATGAGAAGAGACCATGAAATCATAATGAAGCAGCAAAAAGGACAGACATTTATGTAAAAGGAAAAGGCCAGATGGTATGAGGGCCAACAATAGCCCAGTACAAGCTACATCAGGCATAATCCTTCTGAACCAGCTTACATGGTCATGCAGAAAAAAGCAATGACCATGCCATCAGAGTTCTACAAAATGGAATATGAGCTCTGAGAGGACAAAAAGCATAATATGCTTGAAACAAAATTCAAAATCTTATGTGATCTATAGAAGACATTACTAACAGCAAGATGCAGGACACTAGAATAGCAAAGAAACCAGTTGCATTTACTCATGTGAATGATGTTTTTTGGCCACACATTCTTCAATAACTCTAGGGTTCTAAGTGCAAACAACTCACTTGTAGTCATGACTGAAGTTCTGGAACAGAACGCCTAGTGCTTCCATAAATGCTACTGAAAGTGTAGCAGCTGATGCCACTGGAGTTGGCGAAGCTTCCTATTAAAAAATGAGATTGGGGAGGGGGTAGTGGTTACTCATTAGCATAGCTAGGGAAGTCTTGAAAGATTATTGCAGGAGCAAATCCACATTCTGAAGATCCAAAATGTATTCTAAGTTCAATAGTCACCTTAAATGCATCAGGGAGAACCTCAGCAACGACCATCCAGATCATACATCCAGCGGCAAAACCGGTACAAAAGGGTAGAAACTTATTAAATGCATCCGCACATATAAAAGAAGGAACTGCTACAATGGGCTGCAAAAAGGACATAAAAACTAATTTAGAAACTAAATTCATACCCAAATCATACTCAATACAAACAAAATTTTAATTGATTTACACTCTCCAAAGCTGAAGCTTAAAATTTGAATTTATTCTTTCCTTTCCTAATTTCAACAGATGACACCAAGGTGCAGTCATTTCCTATTGCTTACTTTATCAATCAAGCATGCACTAGACACTTCAGACGCTTTGAACTATCTAGAAAACGAAGTGGTTCTTCAACCATGGTGATCTTCCATTGAAAATAGTCACCCTTAAATACTTTTTCTAAATCAACACTGCTTCTTTTGCTGTTCTATTTTTACCTGATCTTTGAAGATCTCAGATAGATGTCAGAACTGAATCCCTTTAATATAAATAGATATACTTAGAAGCCGGACAAACAGCATTACATGATTACATACCTGGGGTAAGGATGTAATGACACTCCATAACATTGCATTCTGTGGAGAAACGCCCTTGGATGCGAGCAACATGCTCACAGCCAATCCCTCAGGTATATTATGTACAGCTATGGCCAAAGTTACCAAAAGGCCTTGAGTGAAACCTTTTGAACCAGCAAAGGAAACTCCAACACCAGAGCCCTCCCCAAATGAATGGAGGGTCATGATTCCGACAACAAGAACAACTTTTGTTGCATCTGCTCCTTTTATGTCCAGCATACTTACTTCACCATATCGTTCAAGAAACTGAGACCAAGATGAAACATTACAAGATGTTAACATCAGCTGCACATACAAAGGCATACCAC